GTGTTACTAGTATTTTTTCATTGAGAAGAAAATGCACTTAAAGGTGTGAATTTAAAATTTTAAAGAATCATTGGCTTTTATTAGTCTGCTATGATTATTATAAAATGGTTTTATATTTCGAATTAGTCTTATTGTGATGATGAACTAAGGTTTGAGATTAATAGATTCATGAAATTTTGGTACGGATTCTTGATTTCGAGTCATATAAAGAAGAATAATTCATACTTTTCAGATCCACAACGAATCGTGCAACCGGGATCAGTATTTTCACAAATTAATGCAGCGGAGAAAAGAAGTCCTCAAACTTTTTTCCAGGCATTTGCTTTATTAATATAAATAGAAGTATAGAGTAACATCTTGATGTTTAGGACTCTATAATGATATTCTTTTAACTTTAAAGTGTAATCATTTACATTTTTTTTTATCTTCACAGTTTTCATTAAAAATAACCGATCCAAAACAGTTGAGTTTTATTCTCTGTCTTAATTTTAGGAATTCAGTGGTTCATATTCTTCTCCTTCACTAGCTCATAAAGCACCTCCAATCGAGGAAAATCCAAATGCTTTAATTTCTATTCCACCGAATGTAAGTCATAGAAAATTGAAGAATGTAAACATTTCAAAGAAGAGTTTTCAAGAGTGAAAAACTATAAAAATTGAAGATAAATTTGAATGCAGTCGTCGGGCTATTCATGAATCTTTTTATTTTAACAGCTTCTTGTTACTTTTCTTAGTATGCTTTTGAATTTATTGCATTCACTTCCCAGCATTGTGTTGAAGACTATCATAAAAATTGTCTCTTGTAGGCTATAACTGAAAATAGTAAAAGGCCTGCGACTTCTCCCTTTCCTTCTGACTTTAAAGCACCCATAAAAGCAGTTGGTGATGTATCTTTGAATGGTTGGCAACTTGTGCAATTTTTAATCAAAGCTACTTACAGGCTTCCAGCTGTAAGTTTTCTTTTGTTTATTTTATTATTTGGTTTTGATATATGTTATACGTTTGATTGTGTATTGGTAAGTCTTTTATTTGTGTAACACGTCTTCAGGGAGTAACTAGAGATGGAATTCAGTTGCGAATAAATCAGTTAAATGAATTAACGAGCTCCGGAAAAGTGACGGATGGTTGCATCAAAAAATTAAATTTTGTTGTAGATGGTAATGATTATTTTGATGGCACTTAACCTTTTTTGAGTATACTTCTCTTAACCTTTAAGGATTTCTGTAAATTTTTGTTCAAAAAGTCTTCTGAATTTAATACGATCAGGTTTAGTGAGGTCGTGGTGCAACACTGAGTATAGAACATGTATTTTTCATTCATTTTTCAAATATTATAAGTCAGTACTTCTTTAGCATTAGATCGTGGTTTGTTCGAAGAAGCACATCAGTTTTTCGAGCAGTTGCTCATATCATTCCCTACCGAAACTCGGAGTAGTTGGGCTCAGGGTATTCGACTGCTATTAAATGAACTGAAACTTCCTACAAGAACTGCTAGCGCTGGTTTGGGACGGCATAAATGATTTATAATGCGATCTAATTGTGCAGTCATTGCATTCCTGTCTTTTTAATAGAAGATTCAGCAAGGTCTTGATATACTTGTCAACATTACATTTCAATTGATGATTGTGATTGTTGTACTTCATCGTAATTCATTGTTACTTTGCCAATTTGATAAGCTTTTTTACTGCACTTACATTAAGCTTGTTGCATCAGAAACATTTCTAAGTGGGCTATTTTTCAAATTTAACTACTTCAATTTGTCAGCCTTATAAGTAATATGAGCAGAACAGACTATAGAAAACTATTTTTTCAAGTTTTCTCTTGAATTATTTATATTGTGAAATTTCGGGTTATTTACTCTAACGTCAGGACATATTTTTAGCTCTCAAATTATGTTACTGTTTAATTATTTCGTTTACTGCTGCTATGATAATACTCTCCAACGGGAATTTTGATTATCCTTACTTCGAAATTTATAATACATTGGGTATCAGCTATGGTGTACTGGATGTTATTTAACGTTGTGTAATCAACATAAATGATTAGTATTTAACGTGTGCTCTTCATTTAGTCGCTTTCTGTTACATGAGAACGCAATTCTTATATCGAGAATCTTCTGAAGTTGGTATCGATCATAATTATAAACAAAAGTATAACCATAGTGAATTTTCACGATGTGTATGATTTACAGTAGTTATATTTGTTTTTCTAAATATCAAGTAACCTTGCATTACGTTGCGGTTATTACATTATGTAAACTGCTTTCGTGATGTGGCATTTCACTTGGCAATAAATTGATGAAGTAATTAAGCTGTTCATGGAAAATAAGTAAGAAGTCCACTGAATTTTTACGAAAGGAAATGTTTCTCAACTCTTCTATCTCTTCAAGATTCTTAAAGAGAGCATGTTATAGGCTAAAACTTGGTTGCTTAATGCGTCATGCGATTAACAGTTTGGTTGAGAACGAATCTGAACACACGAGAATGGTATCGCCGGGTTTGGGAGATTGGGTATCGAGGGCCTCCTCTTCCAAAGCTTAAAATGTATACATATACGTATATATATATTTTAAATTTGAGAAAAAGTAATTTATTAGAAAATATAATTTCCATTTTAAGAAGTTATATAAAGAAGTTTGTGACTGAAGTTTAGTAGCTGCAACAAATCCATGCATACTACGTACTAATTTTAGAAAGGGTAAACCTGATTACCCTATTGGTAGCAATGCTATTATACACCTGCAGAATAGATTAAAATTGGAATATCAAGTGATGAAGTGCCTAGCAACACCATATATAACAAAGGTTTGATATTTTAGCAGGATGTCGTTTACAAATAAGGTTTCTTGTGTACAGTTTTTGATGTACTGAAAAAGTGATCAGTTACAAATTTTATTAGATTTGAGATCTTAAATAATTTATCTTATGAACTTTAAATTTCTGTAGATCATTTGCGGTATTTTATGGAAATGGATGTGGTTTATATCGAAATAGTTTTATAAAATATATGATATAGCAAGACCATTGAACTTTTACGCTAAATTATTAGTAATTTTCTGAATTTTTTATAACTGATTTTTTTCTTTTTTCTTGTATTCAGGATATGGAAGTTGAATATATTAAGAAATATGGAACAAGTGAGCAACAACGTGAACAGGAACTTTTGAAAATAGAACAGAGTCGTATGCCAGGCAAACCAAAACGAAGAATTGTAGGGAGTGGCAAAGTATTGAGGGCAAGAGCAAATGTTGGAAATTTGCTACATGAACACCGAACTATTGAAAGTAGTTTGCAGGAACTGATTGTTAGGCAGCGTTGGGATTAAATAATTCGTTTATTTTGTAATAAATATTTTGATATCTGTCGATCATTTTTGATTTTTATACTTTTAATTGTTTTGTCTTGTTGCTTCGAAATTGAATCAAAGCCGAAAAGTGCTGGATAAAGCAAAGTATAACTGAAGTGAACATATACATAACACTGTAAGTAAAATTTTTCTTTTGAATCAAATGCTATTGTGAGCAGGTTGCAGTGAGTAGTTCAGTTATTAGAGCAAAAAATAAAGGTGGACTTGCTCATTGTTTTATTGAGACTTTAGAATGTTATATGAAATTAAAATTTGGATAATCATGTTAAGCATTAATAGTCTTATCAAATTAAGAACATAGATGGCAAATATTTTTGTTGTGGTGTATTTCTGTATACCATATTTGTTTGACCATTTATTATGAATAAAGAATAATTTACAGAAATGTCTACATACAGTCTTAATGATTTGTACTTCAAAGAGATCTATCCAAGTTGATTCCTTTAACGCTGAGTCGAGCTAAGGTGAATGTCTGTGATTTAACCATCATTTTCATAAAGATATTGCACTTTCTGCAGTAATGTGTTAGATTCTACTAGATCCCTTGTTATTTGTCGTTTAAAATATTAATTTTCGTACTAGCATTCATCACTTATCTGCCTTCTACTGCAATTGATGATCTGAAAAGTGAAATCCAATCCACTACAAATAATATTGCTAATCTCGCATAAGTAATGTTAGAAGTGACATAGAGTCTATCTCTGATATCATATTTTACAGATGTGCCAACTTTCTGTGCATTTAAAAATTTTTTACAATCATTACTTTCTGAAAATGAAATTTTTGAAACGAAGTTTTTGTAGTACATTAATAAATATGATTACAGATACACTGAACTATGA